TGTGCCTTTAACAGCCAGAGTTTTAGAGATATCCTAGCTAAAGTGCAGAAAGCTGTGGATGAGTTGAACCTTCACTCATACTCTAACTTGCCTGCTTGGGTCAAYACCCTTGACAAACAGGTACCGTATGCAATGGCTTCACATTGAATTAATTGTCCTTAATTGTCACTCAAGATTGTACTGTAACAAGAAAATTCTTACAATGCAGTTAAAAGGAAATGTACAATGTACTTGTTTCCAGGTCGAGATGCGTCTGTCAAGTCGYCTTCAGGCTGGTATCAAAAGCTGGACTGACTGTCTAAGAGGAAACAAGAGCACCAAGCACCTTGATGATACTGATACTGCATCACTTGCAGCACACAAACCTGGTGGAGATCCAGACATCCTTGTAAGTTAGTGTTAGAGCGGATTTCCTATGAGTGGGACACCATTACCGCACGGTTACCGCACAGTTACTGGACCTGGCCTGCAAAATTTTGGTGAAACAATGGGGCACTAGAATTTGGTTACAGTATGATTACGGTCACAGTACAGTACCGTCCGTTTCCCACTCATACGAAATCCGCTCTAAGACAGTTCGGAAGACAAAAATAATGAAGAGAGAGAAAGGAAAAGCAGCATGTAATAATGAACTGATAAACAAAGACTAATAAACTTGTTGCCCTTTGCACACTCGCTTACAATGAGTGAACTTTCCAGTGAACTTTTGTTTGTGTGTATCGTCCTCTTCATAATGTTCTGATTCACTCATCTTTAGCAATCAATCCATGAAGTCTGCATCCAGAACCAAGTGCTTTTCATGCGACCTCCWGTAGAACGAGCAAGAGAGCATTTGGTCAATGAGATGCACAGATGGGTCGGCATTATAACTATGTTRCCAAGGATACAAAGCTCAAGATATCAGGTACATGTACATGCATGATTCCTTAAACAAAGTACAACAATGTATTCAATGTTTTATTTAGACTGAACCTACGTGAGCTGTCATGTACAACATCATTTCTCTTTTTAACACTTCCTTTTTTAAATTTTAGTGTTGTGAGATGCCAAAATATTTAAACATTTCATTCAAATGTGAATTCTTCCATTGTTAGAATAGACATTGTTTGCTAAATAGGTGTTGATATTGTTTTTAAACAGGTTGGGGTTGAGCGTGATGAATCAGAATCAGAGACCACCTACAGGAATCTTCTTGCTAAGCTGCCCGAGGGACCTGTTGTACTTGARCAGGCATAYGCTGCTGTTGAAGAAAGAGTTGCYAAAGTAGAAGAGTATGAACACATGTGGCTGCAGTACCAGGCATTGTGGGATATGGATATTGGTAATGTCTATAACAGGCTCGGCGAAGATCTTAGCAAGTGGATGAAAGTACTCAAGGAAATCAAGTATGTTGGGATAATGATGATATTGAAGTAAAAAACAGACAAAAAAATAGCTGTTTTGTGTGCTAAAACAATCAATGTAGTGGAGTGAGAGTGTGTCTAATACATAACTGTAGCCAATGACTAGGGAGACTCAGCAACGACTCCCAGTATCTTTATTTATTTTGAAATCTCTTAAATTTTAATTTTTGTGCTCAAAAAGTACTTTAAAAGGCCTGGAATTTTGTGACAAAAGAAGCACAAATGTTGTGAAATGTTAGTTTCTTTATCTGTATTATTAATAATGATAATAATATACTGTTAATTGCGATGCCTGCTAACTACTCATGTGTAAATTATTATTATTTATTGAATTAAACTTGTAACTTGTAACTTGTTATTGATTACTTTTGTTGATAATTACAGGAGATCACGTGTAACCTTTGACACCTCTGATACCAAGAAAGTGTTTGGTCCAGTTGTTGTTGACTTTGCTCAAGTTCAGTCTAAAGTCAACATGAAGTATGACACTTGGCACAAAGATGTACTCAGCAAGTTTGCCTCAAGACTTGGTGATGGAATCCAGGAATTCTATGGCACTGTTTCCAAGGTAATTTGGCTTGGTATATTACCTGTTACCAATCCTTCTCATGCCTAGTTGCACATAGGGCCTGGTTATGAATCACTTTTCCTATTCCTTTCATCTATTTTTCTTTTTATCCCTTTTCCTTTCTTTCTTGTTTCCATTCAATCATTCCCACTCTTTCTGTGACCATACTTTTTTCTTTCCATACTTTCCTTAGTCAAACCAGCCTAATTCCTTTCTTAAATCAGTCACCTTTTTTTCTTTATTCCTCTCTTGCTTTCATTTTCTTCATTTCTTCTATTTCCTGCATTCAGTTTTGCTATTTGTTCAGTATTATTCTCATTTTCTTGTTCTCTTCTTTTTAAGGCACGAGGTGATATGGAACAGCAGACAATTGAAGGAGCTTCGACATCAGATGCTGTGGCTTTTATCACTGTGGTCCAATCACTGAAAAGAAAGCTGAAAAACTGGGATAAGAATGTTGAGGTGCGTACTGATATTTGTTTTTAACATAGTGTACAGCTCTCGAGAAATTGTTCTTAAAAATGTAGAACCATTTAAGTCACTGGCTTTCTTCATAGATCTACATAATCTGCACAAAACTAATATTGTACAATATATGTAGATGTACAAAGAAGGCCAACGTATTCTGGAGCGACAACGGTTTGCCTTCCCACCATCCTGGTTRTATGTTGACAATGTTGAGGGTGAATGGGGAGCTTTTAATGACATCCTGAAGAGAAAGGACTCCAGCATCCAAACCCAGGTTGCAACACTSCAAATGAAGATCATCTCTGAGGATCAGACAGTCGAGGCTCGTTCAACAGAGCTGCTTACAGAATGGGACAAGACTAARCCTGTAGCGGGTAACATCAGACCTGATCAAGCTCTCAATGCAATTGCTGTYATTGAAGGAAAGTTTGCAAGACTTAAAGAAGACAGGGACAATGTTGCTAAAGCCAAAGAAGCCTTGGAGTTGATTGAACCAGGTACTAATGAARAGAGTCTGTAGCTTATCACACCATAAATCCATGAAATAAAACTTGATATCCATTGTCCAATTGCACTATTTTATGGAAAACAGTAGATACAGTAGTACCAAAGTGAAACAGTGCAAAAAAAAAAAAACAAAAAAAAAAACAATAGTTGTATAACTGACTGGTAATTGTATTTCCAGGAACTCTGGTTCCAAGTGAAGAGAAAGTCCAGGTAGCATTGGAGGAGCTTCAGGACCTGAAAGGTGTCTGGTCTGAACTGGCCAAATTCTGGGAGAAAATCGAAGAACTGAAGGAAAGACCATGGTTGTCTGTACAGCCAAGAAAGGTAAAGGAAATGTYATTTGAATTCMAATTATTKTTGGTTTATTYCACATTGTATGTTTGTTTACAGCTTCGTCAGTCTCTGGAAGGTTTGCTGAATGACATGAAGGCTCTCCCTTCACGATTGCGCCAATATTCATCATTTGAATTTGTTCAGAATACTATCAAGTCTTATCTAAAGGTTAGTCGATTGTTTAGAAAGCTACATATTTCAAGAACTCAAGTTATATTGTAGTCCATGATGACAAATATTTATAAAAACATGGAAATCACTTGGTATTTTTCTCTTTGTAACAAGACCTTGACTTGTACCTGACTTAAAATATMATTTTCTAGATCAATGTGTTGATAGTGGAGCTGAAATCMGAGGCACTRAAGGAGCGACACTGGAAGAACCTGATGAGAAGGCTTCATGTTAGTTGGGTTTTGACTGATTTAACCCTTGGTCAAGTCTGGGACGTTGACTTGTTGAAGAACGAAGCTGTTGTAAAGGACACMATTCTTGTAGCTCAAGGYGAAATGGCMCTGGAAGAATTYTTGAAACAGGTACTRCAAATAGTATTAGATRATATTAATGTATTAGTAATATTAAATTATAAATTTGTGTTGTTTTTCTCAGGTTCGTGATGTATGGCAAGGCTTTGAGCTGGATTTGGTGAACTACCAAAACAAGTGCCGTATCATCC